GTAGTAGTAGTAGTAGTAGTAGTACATATACATATTATGCCCGCTGCGTATGTAAAGGGTTAAAGTTAAAGGCTGTTGCAGAGCTGGGAGAGTGTACAGAAAATGCAGGGGAAATAGATAAGACTCTTAACACTAACTGCCATAAAATTGTTACCCGTACTTTTTATGGCTACCAAACCAAGGGTCGAATTACCATTCTGTAGAGGTATGTTTAAACAATAAATAACACACTCTGTCTTATAGATCTGCTTATAGCACTGCTACAATGCCCATTGAGAGAACGACGATTAGTGCTACGACTTGGAAACACTGTCAACATGCAAGAAAAGAGTGTGTGATTAACATGCAGTAACAAATTATGATTACTTCTCTCGCCAGCCTTTTCTCATAATAATATGTGAGGCAGCGTGGAATCAGGCTCTCGTCAATTTTTGGGCATGTAGAGTTATTGGTATCATCTTAAAGCTTGTTCACTTGTCTTTATTTGGATAAAAAAATATCCATTTATCTTGAACACAAGTGGAGATATTTGCGAAAGAAGGAGGTGGGGGTCACCTGTTTTCAGAGGTAAGTTTAGTGAGGAAATGGCGGCCAAAAATTAGTTATTTCCTTTGCTTATGAGTCCCTGGTAACTGAAAATTTTCATTTTTTGTGCCTTTAATCAACGTTTTTCAGAAAAATCCACACAGAAATGAGTTCTTTAATGGGTATGAAAGGTGTTGAGCCAAAAAACAAAAATTTGATAAAAATTCACAAACCTGCGGAAAAAAGCAAGTTTCTTCACTTTGATTATATTGGCGAGAGCATGATTCCACCACGCTGCCTCACATAGGTTTACTTCTCCTTGTATCCTTGTATTAATGTGAATTTTTAAAAAAGAACATGCACTTGTTTTTCTTTTTTTTTCTTTAAAAACTGGATAACCAAGTGCTGTGGGTTTCAATATCGGCTTAAAACGCCTATTAAGTGATCCCAGAGCAGAAAAATCATTCCTAAAAATGTGGTTCTTTTCAAGAGGACAATTATGAATGCTCAACGTTTCAACTTACGTAGTGCAGTATGTGTAATGGTTTGTTTTTTGTTTTTGTGTTCGTTTGTTTGTTTGTTGCTGTTGTTTTGTTTTGGGTTGTTGTTGTTTTGGGGGTTTTTTAGGTGGGGGGGGGGGGTTGTTTGTCTATTTTTTAAAAATAAATTTGTCTCCACTAAAAAAAGCTCATTTAATAGAACTTAATGCAGTTCAGTGAATATTGATAAGCCAATTCCAAAATTACGGAGCCAAATTGCAATATTTTAGCTCAAATTAAATCGTGATTCTTATTTCACTAACGAAATGATCGTGACATGTGACTAACCAATAGTCGTTTCTCAACTGTCGTTGGTTGGTGTTTTGTTTTGCTTCGTCTTTTTGTTTTGTTTTTTTACGGGCGTGGTCGGGTTTTTGTTCTTTCATTAAAGGAAAAAAAGCTCTGGTTTCACAGACAAAAGTACTTTGGGTTAGCCATATTCAAAAGCTCTTTGCCTAGGATCAACAGTTCTTGGCAAGTAGCTACTGTCTTGAAGGGAAGGACTCGAGTGTCCAACATTAGGTGAGGAAACGCAGCAACTAAAATCGCGATTTACGAAGAGCAAAACGTGAATTAAGCGTCAACTTTGAAGGTTTAGGAGTTTGGGAGCGCCACTTGTACGATCTTCTTCAATTTTTCACTCTCTCTTTCTATGATAATAATGTAATAGATTGCATTCATATAAAATAACTGCTTTACAATAATAAAAAGAACGTGCTATATGAGTGATGCATCCACTCCACCCCCCCCACCCCCACCCCACTCAACTTTCTCTCTCTCTCTCTCTCTCTCTCTCTCTCTCTCTCTCTCTCTCTCTCTCTCTCTCTCTCTCTCTCTCTCTCTCTCTCTCTCTTTCTCTCTCGCTCTCGCTTTATCTCGCTCTGTCTCTCTCTCCCCTAAACCTTCTCTCTCCCCATTTCCCCCAACCCCTCTCTCTCTCTCTCTCACTCTCTCTCTCTCTCTCTCTCTCTCACTCTCTCTCTCTATCTATCTATCTCTCTCTCTCTCTCTCTCTCTCCTTTTCTCTCTCTCTCTCTCTGTTTTTGCTAACATTACCAAGAACAGTAAAAAGGTCAGATGACTAAGAAAAAGAGGTGATTTAAACTGGGGGGGTTTAAAACATTTTTGGGTCTCTAATATTACGTCTGGTTAAGTGAGTCGTTCCACATCAGAGGACCATACTATGAAAAGGAAAGCTCTTAATCAAATCTGTTGTTCACTGACAGTATGAGTAAGATTCCAAATTGTTTTATTTGGCATTTTTTCGTACTGAATTACCGTTGTTGTGCCGGTGTGCTTCAGCGAAATTTGCTTATTCAAACCAATCACAAACCATGTCAAGGCTGGTTTTTATCCTTTTCGTTTGATCCCACTTTATACCACAGACGTATTGTGATTAGATTTATTAAAAATTTTGGAGGTTCTTTTAATTGCTATTTTTATAACATTGGGGGGGGGGGGGAGGATAGTCTTGTTTATAATAGCGCTTGAACATGAATGCATCAAATGCACAAACTTAGTACCGGTGTAGTACTTTTGTTAAAAGCACCTTCATTATTCTACATATATAAGTGGTGTTACGGTTAGACTTTTCTCTGATGCACGCAGAAGTCTTGAGTTGGGTTCCTATATAGGGAGGTTGGTTGTTGTTTTTTTTTCAAATCGAGTGTCACCGTCTGGTTTCTGTGACGTTCTTTCGATCTCATTTGGGTTGGCCCTGATGGGCAGGGATAGAGATGTTCACCTCCTAAATGACCTAATTTGTGTTCATTGGGACGATAACTATTCTCAATTACGATAACAATTTCTCACCCTCCCTCCTAAGTTCTATACTGATATCCGTAACAATTCATTTCGGAGGTGATGCCCCCTTTAACTTCCTTCAGTGAGACGTACCAAACTTTCAGCTCACGATTGGTTTATGCTAGAAAATGTAACAACATGCTCTGTCACGCTACCTTAAAATTACAAAGTTCTATTTGACATTTACTTTGGCCACTTTGAGTTATTGAGATCACGAGGTCAGAAACCAAGTGTTCCTTCTTCTATAAAAGAAATGCATTTTAAAAAAGTTGCCACGTTGTGAAACTCAAAGGTTGTAACGCCTAATTTCTAAAACCTAAGTACTTAGCAGATAGAACTTGTAACTCCAGGGTAGCTCCCAATCATAATGTGCTAAGCTAACCTCCGATAAAAAGCGATTGTTTGTTAGTGATCTCTACCGATTAGTTGTTAGTAACCTCTATTTCCGTGGCGCCTTGTAGCTCTCGTCTGTCTCTGCTCCGCCACAAAGTCACAATCATGTTTCCAAAGCCGATATCTTGGCGTTGTTGATATTGTGCAATCTTCAGAGATATCAGTTTCACATAGGACTGCTGTTATCTGAATATACACTGTGATTTATGACAGGCTACATTCTTGCCCAGCCTTAGTACAAGACTAATGGTTTGTTCTTCAGTCTCATGGGCTGGACTACTAGCGGAGGGTTGTTGTTTTTTAAAGAAAACGTATTCCGAACCATAATTTTTCTACGCTTTTCTCGACGGGCGAGGCAAACATAGACACATGCACACATTCGAAGAAAGATAGAAAGATAGCTAGAAAGATAAATAGATAGACAGATCAATAGATAATGCAAAATAAATGTTACTTTACGTGTATTTACGTTGCTTACTTTACTTGTATTTTGCCTTTGTTATGTTTTTTACTTTCCGTATGTAACCTTTCGTTTTTCGTATATAATGTTGTACTGTCCGTATGATTGTGACTTCTGACTTTTCTTTTGCAATTTGTACTGTGGGAATGTAGCATTTTACTTCCTGCATGCAACTTTTTACTTTGAGTATATAACGTGCGTATGTAACACTGTACTTTGCGAAGACAGCTTTGTACTTACCCTCTGCAAAGTCTTTCAATGACAATGGATTGTCGCTTCTTTCACAGTTTCAATCGCTGACTGTGCTCGTTACGCTTCATTGCCATGTTGTGCCTCAGACACGACTACTCTGGCATCACAAACTTGTCTGAACTTTGAAAAGGCATAACGTGAGTTCTTGGTCGTCAAAAATGGTTTTAAAAAAGGACACCTTATAGGTTACAAAACGTCAGTTGAGGACAAGAAAAGATTAACTCAAAATCTTCATAACTATAGATAATCATTTCTTGGTTTGACATTGAAAGTACATCAACTCTGTTTTAACCCATCACAGATTGGTCCAACTGAATCTTTTTAAAGCAGAATTATCGTGCTACCATAATCATGAAGTGCCAGATCTGAAGCAGACATCGGTCATCATTGTTAGACGTTCATTTTTTCTTTGCGCGGATGCCATCTGAAAAAAAGGAAAAGGAGGAAAGAAAGAAAAAAGGCACACGCCTACTGTCCTGATCATTCCTCTTCACCTATCTGTCCATGTTCACCTGTGTTTTTTGCCTTCAAGCTTTCCAGTGAAAGCAAAATGTTACTGGCATTTATCGTGTAGATTCAAGTGCCCTGCACTATTCTATTATCTATTTGTGGAGGCCGAATGTTGCTATTCAAAAGGCTTTTTAATGGCTGCATCGATCGACATGCAGTTTTCGCCAAAAGATTCTTTAAAATATTCTCCAGATCATGACGCCCTTCGTTTTTTCAGTTTGGAGACAGTTTTGTTGCAAAAAGCTAAAAAATTTTATTTCGCCGATCGCTTTTGTTGGCCGACGCTTCTGTTTCTGTAATTTTAGAAAAGGAGGTTTCCGTTCACTAACCGTGCGCACTGTTTTCAGAGTATAGATCTAAACCTTCTAATTTGTGCATCTCTCAAGATTTATTGCTCCATTCCAGTAGAATGTAAATTATATAGTAAACATAAGCCAATGACTTTCGGCTGGCGTTAATGCACCGATCATTCCTTTCATCGAAAGGGGGCCCAGCTAGTATACATATAAAGATGTTCTATCACCTTGGTATCATTCGGTAATTTCCATAAACGTGTCTTTTGTAGGTATTATATCGCTACTGAACGCGTGCACAGTAAACAATAAGCCAACGCAAGAAAGAGATACGACATGGGCAAAGCAAAAGTTAAGTAAAGTAGCTCATCCTCACTGTTCTCATCGGAGGCTATACTGCCGACAGGTACTTGAATGAATGTAGACTAGTTGTTTTTGCGCTCCCATCGGCACAGTTTAGATAATTTACGAGGCGAGATTCCAACGCCTGCCTTTCAGAGCCAACTCGGACTTAGACTCATGGCTGCATCTAGATCTAGTGGGACACGTGTCCGTTTAAGCTTCTGTGTATATTCGGACACGTGTGTCCTTCTACTCTAGCATGAATGCAAGTACAGTAAATTGTGGGTCTTTTTCTTTTTGAGAATGACGTGCTTCTCTTGCTTTTTGGACCAATGCATCTTTGCAGTTTGCATAAAATTGCTGAGACCGGGAAATGCACGATCGGCGTTGGAGGGTGATGAAAACCAATCTCTACCGGAAATTACCCTGGAGGATCGTGTCCATGTCCGAATAGTAACTCCTGAGAAGAGATACTACATCTCAGCAGAAAATGAGAAAAACCGAGATACACAATAAAATATTTACCCCCTCGGGACTCGAACGCGGTATGTCTAACCTGTACACCACAAACGCCAGTGTTGGCAGGTATGAGGACATGAAATAAAAATACGCACTTTGCGTTGAGTGAAGGTAAATTATTATAGTATATTTAGTATACTTTCCAGTCTTCTTAGTCTTTAGTACTGAATTGACAAAAACTTTCTTAACTTCCATTTCCATTACCATCTAACCTTCCTTGTCAAAGCCAAAGTTTGTATCCTTTCACTATAAGATTGTTCGTCACCTCTATTTAAGATGCCATAAAAAGAATCCTATAGCGGCATTCCATCTAGGTACTCGTTTGATACTATCTTTTCTCGTTTAAGTATCACCTCAGCACCGTTTACAACACCAACGAATATGCGCATCGATTTTCGCGGGTACCATTTCAGAGAGTTCAATATGTGAGTGCAGGATTTTCAAACAGAGTACCAGTAAGATATACCCCTTGCTCTTCCTAAACACCCTCCAAGTCTTTACAATCAGACTTCAAAGCAGTACAAAACCAAAGTAATATTATCAATAATTGCTATCTGCCGCTACACAAAAGACATTGGTTTCCTTGGGGAGTTTGTAGTTTCTCTTTCAAACTTGGGAGAGAAAATTACGTGGGTCTTTACGCTATTCAGGTACTCAAAGACCCGTAGTTTTCATCAGATACTGTTAAACACAATTGCACTGTACTCAACCTGTGGTAGTAAACTGTTCCTAATGTTGTAATCCTCCAACACGACATGTCTTGTTTCTCGTATGATCTTGGTTTTCGTGTAAGGGGCTAAATTGAATATTGATTCCTCCCCCCCCCCCCCTT